GTTGGATTTTCTTCTGCTTTTCACTTTGGTCAGACGCTTTAATGCTTTAGTAAGCGTTTTGACTGCAGGAAAGCAGGACAATCGTCAGTGAGAAATATTGAACTGCTACAATAAAATGCTGTTGCTACATGAACTATAGTTAACAGCAAGGAACAAGTTTTTAAGCAGGAGGTTGTTTTGTTTGTTTGTTTGTTTGTTTGATCTAGCAACACAATAGATGATTTTCTTCTTGTTCTCACAGTAAGGGCAGCAGCACCTCCATTATCTTATTGAAAACTGCATCCACGTTATCCTGTTCAAGCGTTGCAATCCTATTCCTTGCATTAGTGCCAACCTAGAGCTATTATCTTGTTCTTACCAGCTAGCTCAGTAGCCAAATATAAAAGGGTGATGCTTAAGCCCACTGAATGCCCAAATCCTGTTCTCCCAAGGTAGGCAACTGCATTTTTAAGGATGGATGAAATAATACTTGTGATTACAAAGTATTTTGGGACTCTTTCATACTGAGCTGCTACAGTTGCCCTATCTCAGCTGGTGTGGGGTGGTTACTGTGTTCCCAAGGTATGTAGACTGACCCTGCACCTCCTCAGCAATGGTAAGGCAACCCAGCTGGGAGCACTTTACATTGCTGGTCTGAAAGTCTCTCTGCCTTTGCTTCCCTCCCTGAATTGCTGCACAGCCTTGCTGTCTCTTGAGCACTTTCTGGACTGGAACAGGGCAGTTGGCTTTGTACCACAAAGGCAGGGTGAGACAATTAGTCCTTTGCAAAGCACTCTGAGAGCATGAATTGACGAGAGTACAACTGGAAGGCACTTCTTTTTTGTGGGAATACTGTGGGCAAGACTGGGATCAGCTCCCTAAAATGAAGGAGAGGAAGAGGGAGGGTTGGTTTCAGTGTGCTAATGCTTTTGTCTTTAGGCAAAGACTAACAGACTGAAGAAAATTGTTGCTGTAGTATAAGAATCAAAAACCACATGCAAATAAGGGTCTGATATTAGTTGAACTGTAGCAATATTTGCAAGATAACATGGCCATACACAAGACTGCAGTGCGCTCCCCTGAGGGAGCTCTCTTCATTTGCCAGCGCTTGGGTGGCCTCTCCTTGCCGAAATGGCAGGGATTCAAGGGGACACAATTGTCCTGGACCAAAGTGCTCACCTTTGCATTAACCATCAATAGGCAACGTCTTGGTGCCTGCACCCCTCTGAGTGCTCATCATCAGCTTTCCAAAAATGGCACCACTGTGGTTTAGCGGCTCTAAACACCTTCTGTATGCAGAGAACTACAAAACCAGCTGAAGAGCAATATCAAAGCTTGCCAAAATATGTCCCAGGCACAAATATGCTCCCTGTTCTCCATGTACTTTCAGGATAGACAGTGTTTTAACTAGCTAAAGAAGATTAATTTGAATTGGAGGTATTTGACACAGCTACTGAAACCAGACCATAGTCACTGAGATACTGCCTTCAAACTGCAAAGAAACCAGGCGATGCACACCAAAACCACACTTCTCTAGAGCAATTACTCTCACTTCTGATATTGATCAGTGCTTATTTCAAGATAAAATTAAAAATAGTAATTTTTACTGCAATGATTGATGACCTTTTACCTTTTAACAAATAACATACTAATATAAGCTTTTCTTACAATACTTGTGGATAACTTTTTCTTTTTTTTTGTGGAAGAGGGTTGGTTTTGATCTAGCTTTCCATCACTACCTTTCCACTTGTCTTATTGAAAACTGGTGCTGTGTTAAGCTATGAAAGATCTGTTTAAATGATAGTACTTGCTGGGGGTGAGGTCTGCAAGAGGAGGAGAGCTCTCCCTCCAACTCTGGATTTGTTCCTGGACAAAGCCTGGCTCTTCCAGGGAGCTGTGGGGTCACTGCTTAGTGCTGCTCCCAGCTCTGGGTTAGTCCACTGGTGTAAATGAGGTGGCAGACTTGCCTCTTCCAAGGGAATTCATGCACTGACACTGTCTGCAAGGCCTGTGCTATAGCCTACAAACAAGCAGCTTAAAAATTAAATTGCAAGGTAAATGCTCATGCAGCAACACAGGGGCAGTCTGCCCCATGGTACACTCTGCCAGCAGTAACTCTCCACCTTGTCCCTTACTTCCTCAGTCTGTTCCTTAACTTCAGTATTCTCCACTCTTTCCTTAGCATGTTCCTACCTTTGATTCTCCATGATATAATTTCAGTGTTTCTCAACTTTTCTTTGGTATATGAAACTATGTTTTTACCAAAGGATGTCAACTGAACTCCAGTACAGGCCATGTACAGCCATACGTTGACTTATGGAAGGTTTCAGCTAGACTTGTTTCAGACCTCACATGGCCTCACCACTTGAGAAAGAGGAATGGGGTGATGAGAAGCTATGCCCTCTACTTGGGGGATATGTCTTGGTATCTGCCTCAGATACTGCTTTCTTTCTCCAAGAGTGATCCCAAGAAAACCCACAGCACCCTCATCGGTGCCAGCAAGAGGAGTGACCGCCAAGGACAGTAGGAGCAGGAATGGCACTGTCTCTGCAAACGGTCCACAAAGGTCCAGGTGTCCACAGTGAGAGAGACACAGCACAGTAGAGAGTGGTTAGCAAGAAGTGAGCTGAAAGGTACAGGCTATTCTTGACTCCCAACTTTGGTAATTTGTTGAGCTCATTACATAAGACAGATGCAGCCGATCTCAATTTTTCTGGCATGCAGCTCCTCCTTCTCTCCAGTGTCAGACAAGCTTGCTCCAGGGAGGAATAATTCAGATGTGTAGTTAGAACAACTGGATTTGATCAATGAATACAGCAGAGAAAGTCTTTAATGGCCCAAGACTTCTGAAAGGGAGGTCAAACTAAACGACAGGAGTTCATTGCTTGCTTTGTTACATGTCTGCTGTCCCTACTTTGGATGGTAGGAAATCCCCATAGTCAGCACTTCTGTCACTTGGGGTATTTTAAAATCAATTTTAAAAAGTGGAAATGGACCACTACAATCCTATGGAAGCCAGGAGAGCTGTGACAGGAAGGATATATACTCATTATCTCAAAGTCCCAAACATCTGCTCAGGTTAGTTTTGTTTTGGGTTTGACATACCTGCCAGGAAGAGGAAGGTAAAATAACTGAGGTCAGCTGTATCTCTTTTGGGGAGCATTATAAATCAATCAGAGTGCTTATGAGCATGTTGCCACTGTCCTGGCCTCCAGCAGAGAAACAGATGTAATTTTTTGAGACAAAACCCAATGAAATAGCTGAAATAACCTATTGAGTTAAATGCAGATAAAAAATTGGCAGCTTGAAGTCCTCTGAGGGCAGCTTTCAAGTAATTGCCTTCAAGCTACCAGCTGGAGCTGGTGTCTCCTAGTTGCAAGCAGAGGACACCAGACTGTCACTGGCACAGCAGGGCACTAGTCACTACTGCAGGTATCACACAAGGTCTCACTACAGCCATGCTCCCTTCTGGCTCCACCATCCTCATCCTTCCAAAAAGCAGTTTTAAAAAGTCACTACATCTCCTTTAGACAGCTGCAGGCTGTCCAGGGGTACTTTTTCTGGATGCCTGTTATGTTTTTCCCAGGGTTAAAATGCACTTAAGCTCTTCCAGGGCAAGATTAGTTGTTACAGTATTAACATTTGTTACCATTCATTACTTTTGCTTTTATGCCAAGAATCATCAAGTTTCCATGAATTTAGAGATAAAAAAACCTCCAAGTTTCTTTGAAATTAAGGCTATTGCTCCATTATGAGTGTGCATTGATGTTTGCACCAGTGTAGTTTAGTAGCTGAACAGCTGGTTACTGTATGCACAAGAGTAAAGTCAAGTGCCATTTCAATTGCAAACTTGAAGCTAGGAGTAAAGCAAACAAGGAAAATCATTTGGGATGCTTACCCTACTAGTTCAGCTAGCAAAGAGTGCCTGTTGTCTCAGCTGAAAACACAGAATGGATGTTGAACACCATCTTTCACAGCTGCTTGGAAAAGAGCTTGCTTTCTCATCTTGCTAGAGTCACTGTTTCTGTGAGCAATGCTACCCTTTGGATAACCCTTTCAGTTTTACTCTTAAGTTACCTTAAGTGTTGAGCTTTACATACTCACTCAATACATTAAGGTTTTCCTCTTTACACATCAGGCATTGCTAAGGAATGCCTGCAGTCCAGGACCTTCTGGCAGACAAAAAGAGATCCAGATCTGGGACTGATTAGTTTGTCAGAAACATTTTACAATTTTAGTGCAAGTGGCAGCGAACTAGCATCAGGTTAAATAGAAGTCAGAAAGCTCTACTCCAGTAAGCAGACTCACTAATTTTAACATCAACAGACCTTGTATTAGCTCCTAGTATTTACTAGTGTCATCTATCACATTTAATCCAAAAGTTTAACAGGGTAGCACATTTTCATAACATTAAATAAAAGCTTCTAATTGTATTGCATGCACAAAGGATGTCAAGACCCATCTCATCCATTTTATACTAAAGCCCTAGGCAACAAGGGTCAGAGCAGTCATTACCTACTAGTCAGACACAGTTTCAGCTTAAGTTTTCCCATGACATATTTTAATCCTCACATATAACAAGCAGCTTGTCAGTGGCAGCCATGAAGCCTGTGCTGTATTCTCACTGATATCTAGATGTGTTCAAAAAGCCATCAGTCCTAACCACAGCAGTTACAGACTAACATAAATGAAACAGTGCCCTTTTTACTTTGCAATATGCAGTTGTGTTAAGCCCATCAGAAGACAGACGTGATTCCACAAGAATTCATGCAGTATTCAACTTGTTGACACTCAAGCTATTTCTAGTCATGTATTAAAAAGACACAATTTAGTTCCCCTACCCATTAAGGGGGTTCCTTTGCTTCAGTAAGGTGGAAGGTAAAGGGTAAGGGAAGAGATAGCAATTGTGCTATTTATTAATAAGCTTTGGGCTTGCAGGCATCTGGTCTGTCTTCCTATTATGCTGTAAAAGCCATCCATGACAGATTAGTTTTCCCCAGATTAACCAAACACAGGACCAGTTATTTCAATATACTTTATTTTAAAACAGGTAGGTCACAAAACACTAAGCTTAGCCCATTCTGCCATACACAAGCTACAAATACTTGTTTGACAGTTGAGGGTCAGTGTTTAGTAGCATACATGAAAAGTGAATAAAAATCCATATAAAACAATATTCAAATAGTTTCCATAGGAACACAGATAATTGTGACCCATCTCCTAGTCATTTTTGTTGTATTTATGCCAAACCTAAACTTTAAAAAAACCACTTAAAAATTCTAGCAAGAATTAAGTTAATAGTCCCCCAAATGCCCTATATTCAATGACTAACCTTGCAATTAATTACTAAATATTACCTATACATTAATACTAGCTGAAGCACAAGTTGCTGGATATTCAATTCCGCTTTCCCAGGCACAAGACAGTGGCAGACTAGAAACATCCTGCTCCTCCACTTCATCTAGGAACCCTTGCTCCTTGATCTGCTGCATTACTTGCCTAGTGAAAAAAAAAGCAACAGTCAAAAAGCATTTCATTACAATGTGCCAAAAGGAAGGTAAGCAAATTTTTTTTTTTTTACTGCCAGGGAGCATGAAATGAACTCTTTACTCATCTACAATCCACACAGTATTACCGGGATGGGGGGCAGGGGTAGCAGGTCACTCATGGCTGGCTAGGCTTTAGGGCAAGCGCCAATACCAAGGTAGTTTCACCATTCCTGTGTAGGATCTAGATCTGCAAAGATACACCTGTATATCTGTATACCACACACTATAGAGATTTAATGACTTTGTGCTTAATAGTTCAGAATTTCAGACCTATGGCACTCACTATTCCTTATCCCACACCATCACATTCCTGGGGAACTTTAATCAAGTTAAAGGTACAGATGACAGACTAGGAATGTAAGGGAGAACCAGTGAGAACCATGTAAATCCTTCCATACTCAGACAGGAGTTGTACTGAAAGACAAGCTCAGAAATTCAGCTGACTTGAGATTTGCAAGGCAAGAAGTTGTGCTACTACATGGCTCCCCATGTACTGCTAGATTTTACTTAAGACACACAGCATCCTTTTCCCTTATCTTTCACTGTTATACAGCCACTAATTTAGTTGTACACCTTTATGCATATAAGTTACACTCCAAAAAGCTTTTGCCTGTGCTAGAATATCTGTACCATAACTTCATTGATACATGTCTTCAGTTAACAGCCAGCTTATGTCTCAGAATTTTCTTGCCAAAACAGAAAACAGGCAATCACATGGGGCTGAAAGACGACTGTAGCCTTGGATGATGGTTATGTCTGCATTATTAAGCTCAGCATGCCTCAGACCAAGTGTTGAATTTTAACAAAAACCCAGTGCTATAGTGAAAAACCTAACTGTTCTCTTGCAGAGTCATTTTTAGTTCAGTTAGACCAAGTCTGGAGTCTTGCGGGAAGTTTGTTTGGTTTGAGGAATGCTTCAATTTACAGAAGGTTTCACTAGAGGAAAGAAAAAAGTACAAGCCTTGCTTTTAGAGGCAAGGCTAGTAAAATAGAGGAAGCTTCCTCTTAATTTTATTGCCATAAAATTAATTCCCTTGAACTTCAGTATTTTCATTAAATTTGAAAGCAATCCAATAGCAAAGTTAATCATGCTTTAGGGTAATATTGCTGCCCAGATGCTCTCTGCCAGTTTAGGAGGCAGACTTCAGTACAGAGGACAGGGCTTCCTCTTACAGGAAAGCCCACTTTTATAGAAGATGCAATCCATTAACCTGTCTTATACAGAAGAGCATCCATATTACTTTAAAATACTGTTTAAGTGAAGTTTCACAGTATTCTTGCACTCAAAAGTTAGTCCTGCTTTCTTTGCTTACCTGTTTAGTAACTTCCCATGGAGATCTAGCACTCTGCACTGAGCAATGAGCCAGAGCTCAACCTAAACCAAGGAATAGCTCTCAAATAAACAGAAAAATCATATGGTGAAGCAGCACTGTTGAGTATTTTTGTCTCTTGTGGTCAGGATTTAGCAAGCTATCAATTTAGAAGACAGCTGACTATTAGAACTGCAACTGACTGGCCTCTTAGTTACTGGTCACAAGCTAACTGTAAAAAAATCCATAATGATTCCGTATGTCGTGCAAGAGTAAGAAACACTGGCTAGAAGCCTAGGTTAATGAAGACTCCTAACATTACCCATTTAAAACCACCTCTCCTGGAAGTAAATACATAACACAAAAGAGTAACCAGCAGTGCTAGCACTGTTCTAAGCACACAGCAAAAACCTTCAGATGTAAAACCTTGTTGTGTGGAAGAAGGCTATGCAAGAGCTATAGCACCAAAACTACAGTCCTATTTGTTAAGGGGCAGCCAACTGACACAAGCTATTTGCTAGTCATCTGTATCAACAGCACTGATGGATCAAGATACTTCACTACTAACCATGCTGGTCTTGACATCACATAGTGTATTGTGGGCCTCTGGAATCCATTGAAAGTAGAAGCTGCTGCAACAGTATAGGCACCCATGTTTTCAAACAGGATCCAGTCACCAACTTGCAACTCTGGCATATGAAAACGCTCAACAATACGATCTAGGCCATCACACGTTGGTCCCCATATGCTGCAGGAATAGCAGCTGTCATCTGGTTTAGGTCGCTAAAAGAAGAGTCAAGTAATTAGTTTGACAATCATAAAGCTTCCAGAAGTAATACCATAATTAGTTTAACATTCCACCTCACAGAGGAGGAATAGCTGCTTACAGGTCCTTCCCCACCCTTGGCTTTAAATTAATTCCACTGCATGACTCCCAAGTCAAATGCCAAACTCTGGCGACATGAAAGGAGCAGTTAACTGAGAAGCGACTGCTGTGATGAGGAGTCTCCTACACCCGTGATACATAACTAGTACATGGTACCTCTGAATGCATATACCTTTTGCAGAACTGGTTTAACATGTGCGTGATCATACAAGATGCAGTTGAACGATCCATAGACTCCATCATTCACATAGTACATAAGAGTTTTGTCGTTTGCATCATCTTCATCTGGAAGAAGTTGAGATACCAGTAAGAGAATGCTTGGAAAGAAACACACAATTGGCTGAAAGTAAAACTGGGTCTAGATTTACATACCATCAGAACCTGTCAGCTCCTTTAATACAATTTTTTTTGCAATGATGTTAACTGCCAGCGTGAATGCTGATGCAACGTAGTATCTTCCAGGCTCCGCAATAATACTTACTCCAGTATCTGAAGGAAAGTATTTATCCAGTGCTGGGTTGATTACACTTGTGATCTAGGGAAGAATCAGTTGCCAATATCAGTACTTCAGCAGTTACTCAGGGGCTATTTTAGAAGTCCAAGATGAAGTCAGACTTTCCTGCTCACAACCACATACTAGCCAAGTGTGTAATAACTATTTGCATATACTGTAATATCTCTTTATTGCCTTTGCTTTATTTTGTTTGGGATCAAGTTTGCACAAAGCAGCAAAAGCAGGTATCACTTGCAGCTTAAAAAAAATTCAGACTCAAACATGAGCTGTTTGGTCACTTAAAGTCAACCCTCCTAGACTCATTAAGCCAGTATTAATGCCCCACAAGTTCCTACACTTCAACTTTAATTTCTAGTCCACTTGTGGTTCTACTAACCATGCAGTATTCCCCATCTTACTGTATCCTAAAGAAGTAATCTCACAGGATCCTAAGAACACAGAATGCTTTGTCATCACCTCTGAAATTCAGTTGCCTTCATGAACAGTTATTTCCAAGGTCTGAAGTTATGTGTGATTATTAAGCTGCTTCCAACCAAAGCATGACTGCATTACACCATGGAGCCCGATGACAACATCATTTGCTCTTGATGCTTCTTGTAAGTCATACTACACTAGAAGCCAGCCTTCATTAAGGAGGCATTACAAGTGAGGCAATGTTAGCCTACATTATTAGTGGAAAACTCACTTTAACTTATTTGTTGTTTCCTTGTGTAAATACATAACATCATTTAACACAACTTTAACCTGGCAGGTGCTCTGACAACACTGCTGTAAGTGACAGTGCTATTAACACCCAGCCACCTTGTCTCTTCTGGAAGGAGTATTTCTGTGCAAACACAGGCTGGAGAACTGATCAAGTAAAACAGCCAAAAGCTAATTCTAAACCAGATCAGGCACTGATTGCGTTTGCCACATCAATGCTCATGCAACCCAGAACAGCATGGGCTCAGGACTACCTTTTCACCCCACTTGGGAGCACTGCCAATCCAGATAGTCTGAAGTACAGCATCAACTAGAAGAAGTCTATGCCAGTACACATCAAGCCTACAATTAAAACTTGCTTTACAAGTTTACTATCTCTGCATGTTTATAGTCATTTAGCTAGGTATCTAAGTGCTTCATCTAATTTTCAGTTCTCAGATTAATTCCCCTCTTCTCTAAATTCAATCTCTAACCAAGGAGACAAGTTCTTCTAAGTGTGTCTGCATACCAATATAAAAGCAAGATTTTGTTTAATCCAGATCAACATTCAAAAAGACTCCACAATGTGAGGAGTTCTTAGCAAAGCTATACCTCTTCAAATTTGAGCTTGACATCTTCAGAGCCAGGGAAGCCACCACCAATATCAAGCAGATACATACTGAAGCCAAGTTCAGCCTAAAATGAGATTAAGGACAATACTGTTAAGAAAGCAGTTTTTAGTTTTATATTGCTTTTTAAGCTAATGACAAGTCATTTCATTAACACTTGGAACAGAGGTAACTCATCATGTTCAAGTAGTCACTTGAGTTTGAGCTGGTGATTTTAGCATATCCGTGAGTTACACAGCACTGGTTAAAGTAAGCCATTACATGGCCTCAAAAATTCCAACAACATGAAATGAGCAACTTAGCTAGCTTTTAACCCTGTAATGGTTTTACATTCAATTCGAGTTTTGCCACAACAGTTGAGTAGTACTTCCAAAGAAAGTGGAACTAGACTTACTCCCATATCGAACACGCAGCGGGCATCAGAAATGGCTTGAACAAAGGTCTCTGGGTCTGTACATCCACTTCCAACATGAAAACTATGATGAGATACAAAATATCAGTTGCCATTTAGTAAATTAACCAGAAAGTTTATACAACACTCAAGTCACCATATGCCAATTCTATTGTCAGTTAAGATCATCTAAAGAAATCTTATTTAGTATGACTGTATTTTGATATTATCAACTCACCTAACTCCAACAATGGCAAGGTCAAGTTCTTTTGCACGCTCCAGCAGAAGCCTGCTTGTCTTAAGTGTAGCTCCAAATTTAACACTCAGACGACAAACTGCTTTGGAGTCATCAGTTGTAATACGCAAGACTAACCTAGAAATAAGAAAAATAAGGATTTCCAGTATAGAAGACATCATTATCAGGCAGGTATGACCTCAGAATGAAGCTGAGCTTAAACAAAGTTACCCGTCTTTTCCTAACATGCCAGTAAACTATACAGGATTAGATTTTACTGGTTAAATGTAGGTTTATTTTCTTGTAATTTTGCAGCCTATCTTAACTAATGAAGGACAAGTTTCAGGTAACAGTAGATGTTTCCGTAACTTGGGAACCCAAGCAAGAATTACAGAACAATTAGCATAACTTACTTGGCTTTTGGATGGGTCCTTGCAACTTTCATTAGTTCTACTTCACTATCAAATGTCATCATCTGTACACCACTGCTGGCAGCATGTTTGATTTGAGATACTTGTTTACAGGGATTTGCATATATTATTCGCTCAGGAGGTACACCAATGCTCTGTACCAGCTGTATTTCCGTCTGAAGAAAGAAGAGATACTTGTGAAATATTTCTACAGGATCAAACTAATCAGTAGAACAAAGTAACAGTGCTTTACTACACTTTATTTTATACAAACACAGCTGAACATACACTAAACATCACAGATCAGAACACAGTCAAGATCTTACCTTGCTGGCACAATCAAATCCTGCACCAAGAACAGCAAGTGTCTTCACTACAGCTTTGCTGTCATTACATTTTACAGCATAGAAGGGGGTTACCCGAGGAAGGGCTTTATGCCATCGCATGTGCTTCTTTACAATATCTCCAAGGTCAGCAACATAGAAGGCATCTTTATCATCCTAGATAGAGCAAACACGTATCTTAGAGTTACAAACAATGGATAACAGGATAAGCCTAGAGGTCAGCATCTGAGGAGGAGGTTGCCTTGCAGAAAATCTTTAACAACAACTTGTTCCATTAGTTTATAAACTTGTAGTGTCACGAAATGTAGTAATCTTCCTCTCATACTTACAGAAGATGACACTTCATTTATTTTTTGGTCAAGGATATCCTTGGCAGTAAAGCCTTCATCAAGGAAGGTGAATTCAAATTCTTCATTGCTGAAGCTACTCATGATTTCCAAGATTTCAGGTTTATGTGAAAGGATTTAAGTACAAACTGTTGATACAAAAAACCCAAACATTCATTACTTCTTTTAAATTTCTGCATTTTACATTCACTACTTAAATTCATGTAGTCATTATGTGACCACTACCATCATGGTCATATAATTTACAATTATAAGATTCCTACTGCAATCACTAAGAGCAGCATAGATTAGGAACTTACATAGATAATAGATCAAATTTATTCAGAACCACGGAGGAACTCCACAAAAATCTGGCTAGCTTGAAGTAAAGTTCTTCTCTGTTCAGCAACTGTATGATGTACTAAACCTATTCAAAGAAAAAAAAAAATCAAATTAATACTATCAGATTTTATTAGCCTAAGTACCTGGAGGTTTCCACTGTCTTTTCCTTCAATGCTGTATCAGAGCTGTTAATATTATGGCTACTGCCAGTGTCAACATACTTACTGCTTTTTTTCAAACCTCTTAAGGACTACCGTAGTTTGCCAGTTTCTGTGAAAAGGGCTTAGGACAGAATCTGAGGATGTTACTGACTTCTGAGTAGTTACAACTCTCACTAGGTCAAAGCCAGTTCAATATCTGGAATCTCACTCCAGTTCAGACCATAAACCAGCCATGAGATCAGGGCCTCCCCTGAAGACACTGTTGATGGTTAGAGCTTCCCTGTTCTACCCATGGCCCCCACGCAACATGAGAAGAAAACCTCAGCTGTCAGGAGTGGCAGATACATACTGAAAGGAATGGTTCCTAACTGCGGCCTGCAGACAAAGTCTTAACAGCGATCCCAATTAACACTTTATAACAAGATTTTACAGTTGTCCATAACAAATCATTGCTAACAGAAATCTGCCAACCAAGTAGAAAGTCTTTTGAGAACCAGAACTAAAGAGCATTCCTCTACCATCCAAGACCCATGAAGTCCACAGCAAAGCACACAGGTCATGCTTTTACTGGGCAGTCCAAACAGAGAATGACAGTCTCCATTAAGCTGTTAACTCGACCAGAGGTGTGTGCTACCTTGTGAAGACCTCAGCATTGCAAATGACTCATAGGGAAGATATGGTTTCACGTATGTAACCAGGTCCAGCCCTCTGCTTCTCTCAGCACTTTTACACTCAATCCAGTCATACAGATTTGGACCAAAGATTATGCAAACTCTAAATTATCCACTAATGTTCAGTTACACCACTGTCCCCTCTATTTTCAAGAAGGCTGTTTAAAACAGCATATGAAAAATAATATATCTTACAGCTGTTACAAGGTTCTAAGACCAACAGAATCATTCATTCCATATGATGCGTATACTAAAATCCATTAAACTTTATCTACTGGATGACTTTGAAAAGTCAGTGATTGTACAGTTTCATTTCAGCTTTCAGAAACATATGGCACCTGAACTGCCAGTGTCAAGAACTACTTCACATCTTTTGATCAATTCTCACTTATGAGGGGTAAATCAGATTTGAGATTCAAAACAGATTAAGCTTTAACTCTAATGAAATAAAACCTATCAATCCACTGAGCCTTCTCCCCCTGCTCTCATTCATATGCAGTGTTAATTCTCCCAGAAGCTGGATTAAAGTCTTCTCTTAAAAGCCTCTTTGAAAGGACCTTAAGAAACAGCAAATTAAACACTTCTCAGCAAGCTGTTTGTTACTGAAGAGAAGCTGCATCTTATCACAGGACGACATCAACGAGATGTTGAAGCTTCGTAGAAAGCGATTCAGGGACTGTGGTTAAGAGAAGTGAACACCATAAGGAAGAATTTAAGTTTATCCTCCCCTCTGCACAGAGCTGCACGAAAATCACTTTTCCTATTGACCTGCAAAATGGAAATCACTTTTGCTGTTCACAGAAGACTTGAAGTTCTTGCAAGCCTTCCATCTCCCCCTTATTGCACAATTTTCACTACGGTGTAATTACAAAGAATACTGACAGAACATGATCATGTAGACGCAAATTGTAGTCTCCCAGTGTATGTTTTTATTTGGACTGCGTGCAAAGTGTCCGCAGCTTCCCAGAGAAAGGCAATTTGTGCTCATTTAGAAGTTGTTCTCCAGAACATTCCCTTATTCAAGCAGCTGTATTTAGACACAGCTGAGTCATGCCTGCAGGCTCCGTACTCAAATACCAAAGCTGCGTCTAGAAAGCGTGCCCGAGGCGCTCCTGACCGCGGAGTTAGCCGATGGCTGCTGACTGCTGCCGGGAAGGGGCTGGCTGCCCAACTCTCACTGACGGCCCTTCTCCCGCGAACACGCACGGTCCCTTAGTTGAGTCGGCTACGCGGCTCGTCCCGGGCCGTGCTGCCTGACTCGGCAGTGGGGCACTGGGCGCTCCAGCCTCCGATACCGAGGCTTCCCGAGGAGGCATTTCACTTTGCGCTGGGGGACGCCTTTATGGCAGCCACCTTGCAGCAGCTCGCCCCCCGTCCCGCGACCCTGCGAGGGCCCAGCGCCCAGCAGAAGGGCCTCAGGCCCGGCCCCGCTGTGCCGCAGGGAAGCGTGCCGGGCCGCCTCGCGTAAGGGCAAGCAAGGGCGCCCCGAGCCATGTTCCTGCCACGCACCTGCCTCTCCCCGCCGCGGAAACAGCCCGGCGGCCACGGCGGAGCCGTCCCCTCCCCCGCTCCCGGGACGCGCCGCCAACACCTCCCC